ATTAAGAATTCATCACTGATTTCGCCATTCAGGATCACTCTGGTACTGGGGTTGGAGTAGAGGGCCTTTATGGAGTTTATGGTGGGTGGTGGGATCCCGGTGGCTTCCAGTGTGCGCCAGAGGTAGTCGTGACGGATCCTGTTGTATGCTTTTTCTTGGTCTAGGGCAACTATTGCACCGTCTTGACTGATGATTTCGCACAGGTCTATCATGCGGTTGACTAGGTCAATCTGATTGTGGATGCTTCTGCCTTTTATGAAGGCAGCCTGGCATTTATTTATGAGGTTAGGGGCGATTGGCGCTATTTTGTTCATGAGTGCTGTTGTCATGATTTTGTATTCAGCATCTAGTACAGTGATTGGTCTGTAATTTTCGATTTCTTGTTTGTCTTTCTTTTTATATAAAGGGCACAGCCAGCCAGCAGTGAACTGTGGGGAGGAAACACCTCACATTTCGATGTCACTAATTACATTATGGAGGAGTTGAACTATATCTACATGGCCATCTGCCTCTGCTGCCCATCTTTTGTGGAGTTTCTTGTAAAGTTCAGTTGGGATGCCATTGAGGCTGGGGGCTTTACCGTTTGGGGACTGTCTTAGGGCGGTTAGGGTTTCGTTGTAGCTGATACCGGAAGCCATGGGAGCAGTTTGTGTTGCAGGTGTGGTTGTGATAGATGAGAGGCATTCGGTGATGCAGGGTTCTCTTTCTGAGGGGGGATTAAGTTGAGGTCTCTTGATTGCACGGCGTTGTAGTGTTCTGCGGCAATCTTAGCCATTTCTGAGGAGTTGGAGGTGTAGCGGGGAGGGTCAGAGTGGGGGATTTGAAGTTCAGATATAGTGTCACATGGCCTTTTATTTTTCCCCCACCTGCACCAGTATTTGTTTATTGATTCAGCGAAGAGGTGCTTGTTTGTATTGGCTGTGGTCTTATTATTCCTATGCCGGGTTCTTTCCACCTCCTGGATCCTTTCAGTTAGCATCATGATCTGGTATTGGGTTTCCTCTAACTGGCACACTGTTCGGGGGGAGCTCAGTTTCCGGACAGCTTTGTTTCTGCATTTCTCCAGACAGATAAGAGTTGAGTTTAGCTTGCCTGACTTGGTTTTGGCGAGTTTGCGTGCTAATGCTATAATGGATTGGGTGAAGTGGAGGAAGCAGTCTTGAACTCCGGGTGTTAGAGTGGGCGGATTCAGACAACTCCGGAGTGGAATCAGAGACTTAGCGTGGAAGGACCTTGGCCTCAGCGACTCAGGTGGAGTGCTGTGCCATTGCTGGTTGTCCTAGGGGTCCCTAATTTCGGATCTAGCAGAGGGAAAGTCTCTTGGGGGGAATTCAGGTCGATTTCGGACTGAACCAAAACGAGTATGTACAAGCGCCGGTATATATAATGGAGGGGGCAATAGCACAAGGAAACAAAGGGGAATCCGAATCGGAACGAAGACATCCGAACGGGAACAAAGGGAAGAAGGAGCAGAGCGGTACCGAAGGTCATAAGGCAGGACCTGTGATACATCCGAAAGGAGGTAGGGAGGGCAAGGCCCAGAGGGGCAGGAGGATGAGGAGAAGTGGGGGTGATGACTAACTGGCTAGAATGGGAAGAAGCAGTAGTCCAAATAGGGATGAGGGGTAAATGCGAGAGATACATTACAAGCGGCAAAAGTGCCAAAGGCGATCTGCGAAGCTCGGGGGTTGCGGAGCTTACAGAGGTTACGGAGGCGGGGTTGAAAGTCCGAGGGATATTGGCAATGGTGTTTACGTAGTATGAGGTCACCAATGCAGTGGACTAAGACCGAGGTGGAGTCAAAGTCCGAGGTAGGGACTATGACAGAGGCTCGGAGCAAAGGTACGAGCGGTGTCCGAGTATGAAGTACGGGACAGTGGTGGAAGGTCGTAACTTGGCGGAAGGGTGGTGGAGGAGTACCAGAGGGAAGAGAGAGGGGAAAGGTAAGGGGGAAGGAGTGGCAGAAAGGAGGGTTGTCAGGTCCGAAGGTGAGTATTGGAGTGGATGGGGGAAGCGTAAGGAGGATGACGGGAGGGTGGAGGTGTTGTGAAGGGGGAGCAGAGTAGGAGGAGGAGGAGTAGGAGGAGGTTGGTGAGAGGGGCAGTGCTCGGGCCGAGGTGAGTATTGGAACAGTGGCGGTAGGGTATGACTCCAGAGGTGAAGAGGGTGGAGATCCGGAAGTCGGGTCGGGGTCGGGTATGCACGGATATGACACCGGGGGTATTTAGTGCGGTGAGTTGGTTGGTTTTGTCCAGTGCTTCATTCCCAAGATCTTCGGGTCCTTTCAGGAATTCATGGTCGTTTACTAGGTAGTTTGGGATTGCCCATCTGCCTTTGCCAATGTGTGGTGCGTGGGGATCATGTATGTCTATTGAGATCAGCTGGTGGTCAGCTGTTGGGATGCCTGGGTTTTTGATACTCCAGGTGAGTGATTTATTTATTATTTCATTTGTGGCATAGATCCTGTTAATTCATGACATATGAGTTCCTGTACAGTGTCCAAAGGTGTAGTTTTTTGCTGGTGCCAGGTTGGCTTGGCGCCATCCATCTTTTAGGTTGTGGAGGTAGAGGAGTTCTTTTAGGGCCACTACTGCGGCATTTGCATCTTCATGTTGGGGGGAACGGTCAATTGCTTCTTCGACAATGTTGAAGTCACCCAGGGCAATGTCGACCTGGATGTTTTCTGTGACTTCACCTAGTTTCTGCCAGAATGCGGCGTTCTCAGTACCTGCCCCTCTAGTGTTCGGGGCATATATTGTTAATAGTGTGATCTCGTTGCCAGGTGGCCATTCAATCGTGGTGAGGATGGCTTGTCCAGGGATAAGGTTGGTCGATTCCGTTGGCTTCTTTTTTATGATGCTTTTATTGATGATAATTGCAATGCCAGCGGCTCTGGTGTGGGTCGGGTCGAAGGAGTGGATGATGTGGAATTCATTGTTGTACCGGTTGGCTAGTAGGTCTTCTTGGGGTGAGTCAATGTGGGTTTCTGATACGCACATCACAGCGATCTTATCCTTCTTCATTTTATTTGTGATAAGGTTCCATTTTTGTTTAGTCTGTGGGCTGTTGGCTCCTCTAATGTTGAGGGCCGCAATGGAGAGGTGGCCGTTTGGGGTCGTTGGGGGTCTTCCACCTCTTAGGTGGAGTGGTATATGTGGGGCTGGGGTTTTTGGTCCATTTTCCAATCCCTGGTGACCATCATTGGGTTTTGATAAAACGGTATAAATTCTCTGCCCTCTGGGCACCAGGGGCTGTGGTCTATTTACCAGTTGGGTATTTGCCATGTGATTGGGCTTTGGGGGGTTGATCTTTTTACAGGCATTTTGGTGTTTCCCGATCTGATTGCCAGCCGGGGTTCAGGGTGTTTTCGGGCGTTTTGGGATCAAACTACTGGGCTTTCCTGTCGCCCATGGGCTCAGTAGGGTGTGGGGAAGAGGGGAGGTTATGGGTTAGTTAGGGTTTTCAATTGAATTGTAGTGTTTGTGAGGGAAGTATTTACAGGACAGGGCAGAGTAACTACATGATGTGAGCGGGGCTCTTTTGGTTATCTAATTTATTTTGCCATTTGTCCATGGTTCGGGGTGAAATCCTTTTAAGGTGCATATCAGTCAAAGTTGTATTTTGGAGGGATGAAGGAGAGGAATCGTGAGCCATATTGGGTGGGGGGACAGCCACATCCTCTTCCACATTGGAAGTTTGAATAAGGCAGGTGTCAAGGGAGGGAGGGGAATGGACCTCCACTAGAGCTGGAGGGGATCGCATTGCTGTCGGTATCCGCTTCCATGTTGGCATCTTGTTTGGGGTACCGTTGATTCCAGGCAGAGTGAGAGTGGATCGGGCAGCAGTGGAATAAGTGGTCGGAGGCTTTACAGGTGTTACAGACTCTTTGTCTGTTGAAGGCGTGTCCGGCTTGGGTTCTCTCACTTACGAACAAGGCCATTTTGAAAATATGGGACCATTGGTCATGTGTGGTTTCTCGTGCCTCTTTGAGGGTCTTGAAGGGAGGGTCTATATGCAGCTCCCACATGGTTACCGATTTGTCCAAGGTCAGCCTTCTTTTTTCCTCGGTGTTTTCGTTATATTCCTTTCCGTTGGGGGCATATCCTCTTGGGATTACTCTGACGCTGTCTACAATTTCCTTTATTTGGTCAGTTGTCATGCTTGCCTCCTCTAGGAATGTTCGGAAGGGGCTTGGTGATTTGGTGATAGTTTGCTTGACAGCATCTTTAATGTTGTTCGCATCCTTCAACCTGTTGCCCATTCCCACAATTGAAATCATGAAGGAAGAAGGCTTGAATCTAGTGCTGATAGCGATGAACCCAAACATCTTGCATATCCATAAGTGTTCGCATATGAGGAGGTCAGCGAATTGGGGGTTCAGGCCATCAATTAAGAAGCCCCACGGTTTAGCATATTGGGGGGTTCTGCCATGTCTGAGGTCAATGGGGACAGGGGGATAATGCTCACTTCTCCTACTTGGTGTGGGAATGCTCTTTTGAGGAAAGCTTCCATGTTGGTCTGGAAGTTGCTGGTGTTTTCTTCACTGTGGGCGGCATCTAGGGGTAGGACTAGAATGGCACCTGCCTTTTTTAGCCAGGTTTGGCACGGTCAGGGTTTGCTCCTTCAAGGAGGCGACCTGGGCAGAGGCCGTGTGCGTAAAAGTTGGCTAGGCCAGGGCCGAGAGGTAGCCAGTTGAGGTCATCTCTTCCGTCATCGGGTTTTTCTGCAAGTACCGGCATGAAGGTTGGGTGGTCAGTGGCAATGGGGGATCCATCACCATCCGTGGCTGGGCTCCGGGATGGAGGGAATTCAGTGGGGTTTATATTTTTTAGGAAAGCCACTGAGCCTCCAGACTCAAAGTCGAAGACATCGGGGGTGGGCACAAGGGAGGGTTTGAAGTTCTGGGGGGTGGTGAGGAGGGGCCTCATCGCTTTAGGGGGGAGAAAGCGGGGGGGGGCCTTTAAAGGGCCCTGGAGTCTTGCGGCGGTGGGTGATCTTGCATGTTTCCTCATTTCATTTTCGGATGCTGGAGTAGGGTCTTGGTTTTTACCGCTTCCTTGGTAGTTCTTCCCAAAGAGGGGGCTGGGTTGGGAGGTGTCTGTATTGTCAGAGTCGGAGTCGTGGGTGATCTCCTCATCCCGGTCAGCTATAGTGATGGCAAAATTTTGTGGCACATTAATTATAGCTGCTGCCATTTGTTCATCCTCAGCCCTCAGCAGGGATTGGAAGGTTGTATGGAGGGGTACGGATGGCTGTTCAGACTGGGACCTTGTCAGAGGTTATGGGGTGAACAGGGGGGATATTTACCTCCATGGTTTAGCAGGGGACTTGTTGGGGGGGGAGGGAACTGACACAGTTCCTGCGGAGTTACCCATTTTATTCCCGGCTGCTAGAATGCATCGGTATTTTCGATTGGTGGTTAGGGGGGGTTTGGGTTTTTCCAGATCCGGGTGGGGGGCAATTTTGGCATGTGGGGTGGGCCGGGGTCGGGTTGGTTTGTTTAGTCATTGGGGGTCATTTACCAGTGGCGTTTTGGGGGCAAATGTTCAGAGTGTTACAGGTAGGCCTGGGGGGATAGTGGTGCCCCTTGATTCTACGAGATATTAGGGTGTAGCGGGTTTCTTGCCCAGATGTTGTAGCCATGCCAGGGTGGAGATTTGGCAGCAGCGATTCTGGTTTAAGTCAGCAGGCAAATTGTTGCAGCGGAATGGCAGGTGGTAATTATTTTTATTTTTATTTTTTGTTTTTCCGCACTTAGGTTGTTGGTCAGGGTTTTCGTCAGTGTGTTGTACATTGTCATAACTACCCTTGAGATCTCATCCACTGTGGCTGGGGGGGGAGTCTCCCGGCCCTACTCCTATCATGGGCGCAGGGAAACTGGAGCCGGGGCTGCAGAGGTATGAGAGGGGGTGTCTCCAGAACACTTGGGAGATCCGAAACTCGCTTTTGGGATACCAAGTCGAGCTTAATGGTGCAGTTTGGGTGTGTCATGGATATGCTCTTGGAGGGGTTGTTGGGGAGTCATATGGTTGAGATGCAGATTGGCGTAGTTATAAAGGGACAGGGCGATTGGGTAAGGGGGTGAGGGAGAGCGTTTCCTGCTGGGCCATCTTGGCCAATAGTGGCCAGGGACTGCCTGGGTAGCCGTTAGGTGACGGGCCAGGCTTCGGTTGTGATCGGTGGCTAGTGGTGGGTTAGGGCATCATTTGGGTGAGCATTAGGGAGGTGGTACTTGTGGTTTCATGGGCACTGTATTGAGGTTAGGGCTGAGGTGGGCGATTGGTAGGTTTCATAGGGCTCTAATTTAATTTGATTTTGGGGGGTCCCGGGCTTGGTTGTCTGCTCGGGCTGTGCCCTTGTCAGGGGGGAAGACAGATAGAGGTAGAACCTCCTGACTCTGCAAGTCTATAGTGGGACACCTAGTCTACGGCACATAGGCTCTGTGGATGTTCCCATGAACTGTCCTAGTTCTTGCGGAACTACCCATAAACCCAATTGCCTAGGCTGCACTCGGCGTTTTATAAGATGGCAATTGGGCACTCATGGTCGATGGCCCTGGGCTCAGGGTCGGCACAATGCCCACCCTGGTGCTGCCTGAGCTGTTACCCCCTGGTCGACATTGCCGCCCCTTTTTCATTTCTCTCTCTCTCTTTTTTTTTTTTTTTTTTTCACTTTCTCGTGCATGTACTAGCTCGCTTTGCTTTTACCTTTCTAGTTTAACGACTTCGCAGTCGAATTAAATCTTGTCTTAATAATGATTGGGCGATTATGATGAAAGATCTATGATACACGTCAAACTCTGAGTGATTATTAACATTGCGCTTTCAATGAGAGAAGTTGTTGTTGTTGTTGTTGATATCATATTTGTTACCCCACGATCGCGTTGGCATGTGACAGAGTGGCATATCCCACTACATTACATCTGTACATGAGGGGACTTTCACAATGTGGAGTGTCATCAGGTTAGTAGGGTCAGGGTGACAGTGTCCTCTGGGGTCTGGTTTCGGGTTGATTTGGTTCGTCTGTGGATGACTCCCCAGGTTCAGTGCTGTCATGATGGGTGGTTTTCTTGAAAGTTTCGGTTGATGGGAACTGAGGTACGATCAGGGGTAAGTCTGGGTCTCTTATCGATGGCATGTGACTTCTTTAGGTACTTTGCCAGCTTGAGGATTCTTTTCGGTCTCCCCATCAGCACCATGGGTCTGGTCTGCCATCCGCTACCCAGCAGGTGTTGAAACTTCCTGAGTTGCAGGCAGTTTTGTAGGACATGGGTTCATGTCTGGACCGCTGCACCGCACTGGACTGGCCTGGGGTACCCCCATAATGGGTTGATGGGAATAGGCCATATTTGGCTGCCAGGTACACTAGTCTCCTTGCTTGGATTCTCTCTAGCGCTTTGCCTGAGACTTCCAGTAGTTGGATTAGTCGGTATGAATGTGGGAGTGAGTAGTCCCTGTTGGGTTTCTGTAAGGCTACTGCTATGGATGTCTTCCATAGTTTTGGGTGATAACCTGAGTCTGCGCAGAGTCTGAGGAGGTGGAATATATCTTTGTCCAAGGTTTTCCATGCCCAGTGCCACGCACGGTGTAGGAGAAATAACAGTCACACTATGGAAACCCATTATGGAAATATGCCAGATAAATCACAAAACCCCATACAACAAGTAGATATGAGAAAATAGAAGGACCTGAATTTTAACGAATTTTGACGAGATTTTACGAATTATTATGACTACATACAATAAAATGGAAGAAAGGAAATTAGCAAAAATACTTCAAGCTTAGCATCAACGAGACGGAATTCTCGGGGGAATTTATAGCAAATATTAACCCAAGAATCAGGACAATCGACCAAGATTTGACTATAAAAACAGCCAGAGAACCTCCACGGAAACTACTTTCCCACATCTGCACATGTAGCCGAGGATGGAAGTACCATGGAACAAGGATTCCTCAGGAACTAATGCAAAATTCAAAGTCGTGTTTATAATAGGAAATGTAGATGTCCCCCAAACGGACCCAATGAAAGTAATTACAGGGAAAACTACCCATAAACGACGGAGATATGACTAAAACTCCTGGAAAACGAGGACAACGTTTAAAAAGCAAGCGCAAAGAACAAGCAGTAACGACCGAGACGAGCTTGATAGCCCATTAAAAAAGAAGGGATCTAATCTTAATCCACCGAAATTTTCATAATAAAAGGATCACACATTGATGAGATATCCAATAACGGGAATAGCAACATCAAAAGTCCGGACTCAGGGAAAAGACGATGTTTACAAAGGATCCATAATTAAAACATACAACGAAATTTACACGGAAATTATGAAAAATAGGGAACTATAGTTATGCAAATTTTCAGCCCAAACGGTCCAGCCGTTGTGAAGTTATACCAATGATGGGAATATAGAAATCCGCATCATGTTTAATGACATGTGAGGGTGGCAATGCAAAGGGAACCAGCCGTCGGAACCAAGATCTGCACTTCAGCAGATCGCAAAGACCAATTTCCGTCCAAATAAGGAAGAGCCCGGTCAAAACAAAGCATGGAAAGTGCAAAACAACCTTAGATCATGAGGGAAAAATCTGAAATAAATCACGGAAGCCCATATGAAGGATATAAACACCCACACATACCATAACTCCCAAACAATTAAACAGAAACAGCACCCACATACAAACAACTATGGGAACGACACATGTGATTACCGAATGTGTGTGTGAACTTTTGCTAACTCGTTGAATACCAGCAAATAGAACACAACTTCAGTACCATTGGAAAGGTGGGAATAAATGAAAATTTATGATACCAAGAACGTGAAAAACCGTCCAGAAATGAATGAGATACAAGGACATGAAGTTAGAAACCTGAAAACGTGTGGGAAGACAGCTTCAAGAGGTCCAGAGCCCTAAATAAAATACATAAAAATATGATACAGTTCTCCAATAAACCGTTGCAATGTTTTGCACTTTTGACTTCATGACCTTATAGCATGATGATGATGTATTCTAAAATTTCAAAAAAATATTCGAAACATGTAATAGTATCCCATTTGAATATGTACCAATTATGTAAACAATATGTCCATTTTTGGTAATGTTATGTAATTTACAAACCACCCAGGTCATTGCAACGGTTTATTGGAGTACATTTTTGGGAAGGGAAAATGGCATTAATTAATACTTTGTATAGCCACCTTTGCTCTAACCACTGCCTCAATCCTCCTAGGCATACTCTCAATCAGATTCTGGCAAATACTTGGATCTATCCTATCCCACTCCTCCTGGAAGCGATCCCACAGCTCCTGAACACTACTTGGAGGTTCTTCATATTCCCCAAGCTTCCTCTTCACATGATTCCAGAGATGCTCGATTGGATTGAGGTCTGGAGACTGTGAGGGCCACTTCATGACCTCAATAGAGTGGTTATTGAACCAGTTTTGGGCCTTTTTGCTGGTGTGTTTGGGGTCATTGTCCTGTTGGAAGAGGACATGGGCTGGGTTTTTGTGATAATATGATATGGTTTCCTGTAGTTCCTCATCCATAATTTGGCAGTACAGGTCCCCATCCATCTTCCCATCAATCTTGCATGCCATTCCAACCCCATCCCAGGTCATACAACCCCATACCATGATGGAACCTCCACCAAACTTTTTTGTGCCTTGCACCAACCTGTCAGTGAGAGGCTCCCCCACCCACTTCCACACCCATTTCCTCCCATCTGAGCCCAGACGATTCACCTTAGTCTCATCAGACCATACAACTCTCTTCCAGTCCTCTAGAGTCCACTCCTTGTGGCTGAGGGTAAAATCCATCCTGTCCCTCTTGTGATGCCTGGTGAGCATAGGCCTTTTTTTCTTCACCACTGCTTTCCAACCAGCTTTTTTGAGCCCTTTACGTACAGTCTCAATGGAGAGGGATGTGTCATTGATGTTTCGGAGTATTCAGGTGACTTGGGATGAGTTGTCAGCCTTCCCAGAGTTGATGAGACAACAAGCATGGCGAATATCAGTGTCAGAAAGCTTGGATGGATGACCACCACTGGGCTTGGGAACATCAGAACGGTGTTTAGACCATAGGTGAGTGACAGTGGAGTAATGGTGGCTAGTAAGAACTGAGATTTGGTGAGCACTATGGCCAGAATCAATGAGGGAAAGGATTTGTTCAACTTTTGAAGTGGCTAAAGGGTGCATTTCAGATTTGGGGCCTTATCATGTGAAGTCCTTCGGTATTTATGCTTTATTAATGTCCTTTTGTTTACTAGTGTGTACAGTAAACAATATCACATGACATGTCACATGATATTCCTATTTTCTGTTCAGCCTGGGGGTACTCCAATAAACCGTTGCAATGACCTGGGTAGTTTGTAAATTACATAGCATTACCAAAAATGGCAATATTGCTTACAGAATTGGAAGATCTTTAGATGAGATACATTCCCATGTTCTGAATATTTTTTTGAAATTTTCAAATCCATTTTCATTGTGCTATAAGGTCATGAGTTGAAGAGTGAAAAACATTGCAACGGTTTATTGGAGAACTGTATCTTCGAGGACGACCTACTATAACAACGAACAATACATATGGAGGATTAGGATATGATAATACAAAGGGGAATCAGGGAAGATGAACAAAATCCACAAAATCCACTAAACTACGACGGACCATGGCGGGAATTTTAGGGAACGATATTCTAATGAAGTGGAGAGCTATAATACATTTGTTTGAGTAATTCTTGACTACTAGCAACTTTTTCTCTCAGTTTTAAACCTGAATAATTCACTCATTTACCATTTCAGGTCTCATTTTAACTAAATGTCGCTGAATAAAAATGGAATAAATCAGCTGAAGGTCTCAGTGCAGCCATATGCATAGTAATGCGAAGCTTGAATTCAGAATCACCAAGTCATAGCGAATTTAATGGTAAATATGAGGAATTTGAAATAGGAAACTGCAACAAATGCAGCGCAGTCAAGTTCTAATTAACCATTAAAATAGCTTAGGTGAGGAAGGACAATAAGGATTCTAGGCGCAGTCTGACCGCATGTCAGAGACCAGGTTGAGACGAAGGAGTATCTCCGTGGTGGAGGGCTTCAGCCTCAGCGACTTATGCCAGGAGCACTGTGCCAAGTAACACGTCTGTGCCCTAACTTACTAAACTGGCAACCAGAACTGAAGGGGGATAAACTCTAGTCGATTTTATTACTGAAGTGTAACCTATGTACAAGTTGGGTATATATAGTTACAGCGAGGGCGGGTCCGCAAATGGCGGAGCCGAGCCAAGTGGAGCTAGCAGGGTTAAACATTAGCTGATTGAATATTACCGACAAGTCGGGTTACGGGGTTAACGGAAAGGCAGGCAATAACCCAGAAACGGAAAGGAGGGATAGGCCTGAAGGTGGGCTCTGCAGGGCAAGCAAGTGTATTGCCCAACGGAGGTGGGGGTGTGCTAGCGGATGTCGGAGCTGTCTGGAAGCCTTCAGGGCTCCATACTTAGGGAGGCGTAGGTAATAAATTGAAAGGAGGGGGTGGTGACCATCGAGGGGTACCGAGGGGATTGCAGAATATGGGAGCTTCGAGGTTAGTGAAGAAGGAGCAGAGGTAGACCAGAGGAATTGGAGGGATCGGAAGTCGATGGCTGGGGATGGATATGACACTGCAGTAGAGCCACAGTTCAGCACAGCAAAGTGCAGTAGAACTATAGCATGAAATTTTCATTTTTTATTCAGTTTGAGAAAAATACACTGTAAATAAATCCTGTATATACGAGGTAGAGCATGAAAAAGGAAGGCGACCCAAGGAGTATAAAAGGGAGACCCTTTCTGCGACTTTTCGCCCCCCTCAGAGAAGTAAGAAAATAGAGTATTATTTTTCTCAAGCATTTCTGGTTGGCACTCCAGCATGAAAAAGTGATATACAGTTAAGATTGCCACTGTAGTAAAAGGCAGCAATTAAGGAGAGAAATATTAAGTAGATATTTCAACAGGAGAGCTGGTTAACACTCCAGATTTCAAAGTGTAAACACAAAACAGTTATTTTGCTACTGTTAAAACAAGCAATAAAATAAGACAAAAATAAAACAAACTCAAGGGACACTCCAGACACAATCCAAATCCATTAACTGAGTAGAATCTTTGAACTTCACCAAGTAGAAGATTTAATTCAAGTTAAAATTCCAAATTAAACAATGCTACACAGAATTACACCTAGACAAATTAAGAAATTTCAATAAAGGAACAGCTCCACAGGGCTCGGTTTATCTGTAAGTCAATTCCCAGAAACGTTAGACTAACCCATAAAAATAGAATTAGCCAAAACACTCGGATTGGTACTATAATTGCAACAAATATTACTAGTACACTTCCCCATCCTAACTAAAGAACCAGGGAACAGCTTGGTGGTGGTCTCGTTTGAACCTCCCAACTGACCTTCCTTCATTCTCTCCTTCAACGGCCAGTGAGGCCAGATATGCCTGGGGCATTTAGCTGAGCAGTGGTGAAGATTGAGTCCCACACCTCTCTTTTGGTTATGCATGGGTATTCCAGGTCTTCATTCCTTGGGTCCAGATCTATTGGAGGTGCATCTCTTAGGTCCGGTGGGGGTGGTAGGAGACTTTCCCATAGTGTCTGGCATTTCTCCTCATGGCTTAAGGCTGGGGCCCTGTTCTCCCCATGGGATATTGGTGGGGATACATATGTTCTGGGGGGTGGCATCTTCCGTGATTTTGCGGAAGTACTCCTGTTTGGTCTTCCTTATGCGGGAAAGTACCTCTTTCTGGAGTGACTTGACTTGGTCCACCAGGTACAGTTCTCCAAAAAACCGTTTTGATGTTTGGCACTTTTCACTTGATGGGCTTATAGTATTATGGAAACATGTTCTAAAATTCCCATAAAATCATGGAATATTACTTGCTATCTCATCTACAGATATACAAATTATCTAAGCAATATATTTATTTTTGGTAAAGTTATTTGATTTAAAAGGTGCCCATGTCATCGAAACGGTTTTTTGGAGTTGATTTTTGGGAGAAGAAAATAGCATTTATTAATATTTGGTATAGCCACCCTTTGCCTTAATCACTGCCTCAATTCTCCTAGGCATACTTTCAATCAAATTCTGACAAATCCTTGGCTCTATCTTGTCCCATTCCTCTTGAAACTGATCCCACAGCTCATGAACACTATTTGGAGGTTCTTCATACTCCCCAAGCTTCCTTTTCACATGATTCCATAAGTGTTCGATTGGATTGAGGTCTGGGGACTGGGAGGGCCACTCCATGACCCTAATACCATGATTGTTGAACCAGTTATGGGCCCTTTTGCTGGTATGTTTGGGATCATTGTCCTGTTGGAAGAGGACATGGGCAGGGTTCTTGCCATAATATGATAGGGTTTGTTGGAGTTCATCATCCAGGATTTGGCAGTAAAGCTCCCCATCCATCCTCCCATCAATCTTGCATGCCATCCCAACCCCATCCCACATCATACATCCCCACACCATGACTGATCCACCACCAAACTTTTTGGTCCCTTGCACCAGCCTGTCACTGAGAGGCTCACCCACCCTCTTCCACACCCATTTCCTCCCATCTGAGCCCAGGCGATTAACCTTGGTCTCATCTGACCACACCACTCTCTTCCAGTCCTCCAGAGTCCACTCCTTGTGGCTGATTGCAAAGTCCATTCTGTTTTTTCTATGCTTCCTGCTCAGCATAGGCCACTTCCTCTTCACCACTGCTTTCCAACCAGCTTCCTTCAAGTGCAGGCGGACAGTCTCAGGTGAGAGGCTCTTGTTGGTAATTTTTTGGAGCATTTGGGTGACTTGGGAAGAGTTGTCAGCCTTGCCAGAGTTAATGAGGTGTTGGGCATGGCGAATGTCAGTCCCTGACAGCTTGCGTGGACGCCCACCACTGGGCTTAGGGACATCAGGACGGTGTTGAGACCAGAGCCGAGTGATAGTGGAAGCTCCATGGCCAGTAGTAGATGCAATCTGGCAAGCACTGTGACCAGAATCAATGGGGGAAAGGACTTGTGCAGTTTGTGAAGCAGATAAGGCTTGCATTTTAGATTTGGGGGCATTATAATGCAAAATCCTTTGGTATTTATGCTCCAGCGATGTCAGTCTGTTTACTAGTGTGTACAGTAAACAATGTCACATGACTTGACATGTGATATTTTGTTTTTTAGGTTGTTCCAGGTGCACTCCAAAAAACCGTTTCAATGACATGGGTGCCTTGTAAATTAAATAACTTTACCAAAAATAGACATATTGCTTAGATAATTTGCAGATCTGTAGATGAGATATTAGGTAATATCCCTTGATTTTATAAGAATTTTAAAATGTGTTTCCATAATGTTATAAGCCCATCAAGTGAAAAGTGCCAAACATCGAAACGGTTTTTTGGAGAACTGTATGTTGCAGGGCGGTGGAAGTCCTGGCTCCATGCTTTGAGTGCTTCTTTTGCCTTGCGAAGCTCATGGTATGCAGTCATGAGCTCCTCCATCCACCACGGTTTTGCTGCTTTGCTGGGGCGTCTGACTGGGACTTGTTGATGAGCAACAATTTGATCTCGGAGCTGGACTATGAGCAAATACTCAGTCTTAGCTAATATGCATGAAGAACTGAGGGAAAAGGAAATGAATTCAAATGAATGAATATATCTGTGGCCTGGCACAGATTAGTCCGAAATAATATAAAGGAGGTCTTGTGACTAAGTAGTCACATGGTGGATTCTGGGCAAGTTGCTCTCCCAGAATGTTCCCACGCTAACGCAGGAATGTGGCTGTTCAGGTTAGCTCCGTTGGAGTACCCTCATAGCACATGGTTCCTCCAACAGGACTGTGATGCCAGCTGCTTTCTCTAAGTAGCTGTGGATGGTTGCCATGGCTTCATCCAGTTCCTCATTGGATGCAGAGGTGTGGTTTCCACTGAGTAGTGTGGAGACTAGGACATTGTGTGCATCTCTGTTGGATTCAACAGTTGCTGCTAGAGCTTCAGAGAACTTCTCCTCTGATGCCTGCTGTCATATCCCAGAATCCCGACCCCGCGCACTCCCACCACATCACACCTTCCTAACAACTTCACCATCCCCTACACCATGCCTCCCCACTCTCCAAGTCACCTTCCCTCCTGACTGTCTCAGCTCCAGTCTGATTGCGGCACACCGAACCTTGGCTACTCCCATCCCGGAACCTCGGTCCCGAGTCGGAACATTCGGAGACCCTGGATTTGCTCCGATATCCTGACGGACCTCCAACATCCCGTGACATGCCCTTAAACCATTCCTTCACCCACTTCATTTATTGGAGTCACCCAACATCCTTCGGATACGCAACTCCGCTTTCGGAGCTAACCGCATCCTTCGGTGATCTCCTTCACGCTATCACTTATTAGTCGTCTTCCATTCTTAGCACGACTACCTTCTTACTACCATTCAGTCGGCTAACCCCCTTTACCCATTTGTCTTCCCCATTCATTTTCCGGCCTCCAACTCCGCCCTCCTTGGCCCGACACCTCGGTTCCCCATTTTAGATATCGTCTGGAACCTTTCGGTACCTTTCAGTGTTTTCCCCATTTTGTCATTTCAGGCTTTGACTAAAGTCCTCCCCATCCTCCTTTATAAATACACATAGATTAGAACCTGTAGTTCCTCAGTTCTAATCTCGACTAAAATGCCACCCAAAGTCCCTCTGAGTGAATCCTGTCCCTGTTCTACAAGACACCTCAGACATAAGAAATACAAGGACTAACTGAGACGTAACGGAGGCACAGCGCTCCCTCCGAGTCGCTGAGGCCGCATCCTTCTTAGAGCCTCTTGTACCATCCAGCAGAACCGGGCTCCCTGAGAAGCTTCGGTTCACTACCGGAGCCCTCGGACCCCCCTCTAGTTGAGCCCTGCCTGCATTCTGTCAGGGACTCGTCCGGGGTCGAGGGGGTCCGGGTGTAGCGTCCTGGACCGAGAGCCTGGCGGGGGGCGGATCGGGCGTGCATACTGACAGGCCCGATGCGGGACAGTGGTCCCTGGCCACTTAGACTGAAGTGGAAGGTTGTTATTATCATTAAAGGAGAGGTATTGTACTACTTACCTGAAGTGGAAGGTTGAGAAGAAGGCTACTTCTTCGGTTCCCACTTCAGGTTCGTTTATATACATGCGGCTTGGATCACATGACGGGTGCCACGTCACCCTCGCACACAGCCGTAACCACCCGGGTGTCTCCGTGGGAGATCCTGAGGGCATCCGGTGCAGGCATGCGTGCTGGGCACAGCGGGGGGTCGCCCGAGGTGCCCAGGCCGGGTACATGGTGGGCGCACTGCAGGTGGGTCAATGGTACATTGATACAGAGAAAGTCGTCCATGTGGAATAAAGGGAGAATAAAGAAGAAGTAAGATAAGGAGAAACAGAAGAGGGGAGGATGAGGGGGGAAGAAGGGAAAGGGGGAGGAGGTAAGGAAGGGTGGACTGGTGGGGTACCGGGTCAGGTTGGGCCGGGCGGAGCCGGGTCAGGCAGGTGTGCCCTGACACATTCGGACTCATGCATTTACCCCCCCTCTTCCATAACCGACGGGTTTTTGACACCTGCTTCCAGTTGAGACTCCCCTCACATGGGTTCTCTACTGTTTCTCTGGGTGTGTCAGGGCCCGGCCTCGGACTCAGAGGCTCCCTGACCTCAACCCCCATCTGGCCTGTCCTCACACTATGCAGGGCATGAGATGTATAGTAAAAGGAAAGATAATATATACACTTGCCTATGCGGGGCATGAGATGAGAAGAAGGGTAAAGGTCTCATCTCCCCGCATGGTTGCTATATAAAGGAATGGGTCACATGCCCACAACTATACAGCTCTTAGAGTTGTGTAGTGTGACCCGGAGGGAACATCCAGGTGGCAGTGCTGAGTAAGCGTGGGAATGTTCTGGGCGAGTTGCTCACCCAGAACTGTGGCTGTGACCCGTGGGAACATTCTGGGCGAGCTGCTCACTCAGAAAGTTCCCACGCTATCCCGTGTGCGCGGATACACAACACAGAAAGGCAACAACAAGGCAACAATGAAGGAATGGAAGGAAGGGATTGGTTGGGGAGTCTGGGGCACCCTAGGGCAGGGTGCTGAACCCTGACAGGGTGGGTGTCAGGGGACGACTCCCAGGTCCCCATGACCCTCCCCTATGGTCCACAGCCTGTAGTGTAACCAGCCCTGTCCAGGGCACAACTCTACTGTGGGTAAGAAGATGAGAAGGAAGCTAACTTCTCATCTTCCCACAGTGGCCACCATATCAGGAAAACTTCCGGGAATATCCGGAAGTCACATGAAGGCAGGATCCGGGGCCGGATCATGCGGCACACGGAGCGTGCGGCACAGGAATGCGCATGGGAAGTGTAGCAGGTCCGGATGCGGGGCCGGGTCCGGGCTAGTCAGGGTGTGTGCCCTGACAGTGGGCCTATTTGGAAAACTAGTGCATGGTGGTCCAAGAGACAACCAATTTCTGTGTCCACATGGTGTCCCGTTAGGACACCTGCCTCGATTGCTGTTGCGTTAGCAAAGGTGAGGATGAGTGACCCTGGCTGTCTGTGTGTGTTGGGACATTTGGTTCACTACATAGTGCAAATGTGTTCCCTTCAAGCCATTCTAGTGTTTTGGTTGTGCAGTTGCATGGGTAGGGTATTTGGTCATCCCAGTCTGGGTGTTGCATATTCCAGTCTCCTGTCAGGATGGTGGGGATGTCGATATCCAGGTTGGAGTTGGCTAGCCTGTTCATTGTGAATTCCCGGCTTTGCAGGGTAGCTAGTGACTTCTGGTTGTAAATATTAACTAGTCTGGTTGGGGGGTGGTTTGTACCGTGTCTCTTGACCTCTAATATCATGTAGTCAAGGTCCAATGCTAGGTCACTTCTGAGTGTAAGGTCAATTTGTGAGCTCTGGCAGATATATGCCAGGCACCTTGGCCATTCGCCAGTGTTGATTGGGAGTTTGGGCAGTACTGTTTGCCATCCCTTTAGGGTGACTGATGCATACGTCCCATTGATCTTTTCCCACCACAGTTCCTGTATCAGCAGGATGTCCATTCTTGGGTTCCTGCATTTTACTATTGTTTGCATTACAGCTTGTGTGGCCGCATTGGAACGGTTCATGTTTATGCTACAAACTGTAAGGGCAGTTGGTAGTTTGGGCTTATAGGTCATTGAGGTGGGATTGGGGGGAGGGCGTCTCTTCAATATCCATCTGTTCCTCCTCTGACATTGACGGTGTGGAGGGGCAGACATAGCAGGTGGGCTTTAGCTTTGAGTTCACCAGTCTCACTGTGGATGCCCTTTGGGCTTCCCATGACTGGTTCTGGCTTAGGATGCGGCTCACATCATCACCCGTTAGGCCAATGTTAACTGAGGCTTCACCCTCTCGTTCGGTCAGGTTTGGGTGCTTCTCCTTACCTTTTCTCTTATTTTTCTGCCTGGGTTGCAGTGGTTGCGGGGTTGATGTGGCAGGCATGGGCATGAGGTTCTTTGGGATGGGTTTGAGGCCCATCCTGTTCCTCCTGGCATTGCATTCCTTGTGGTCACATGCATGCACTTCTTTGCAGTTGATGCATCGTAGTCATGCATCAGGTGGGTGTTCCCCTGTGGTGTGGTCTTTCGAACCGCATTTGAAGCATCGTGATTGTCTGCAGTTCTGCATGCAATGCAAGAACATGCCGCATTTACTGCAAGCATGGACTTGGATGCATTCCTCATACAGGGTGATAGTGCATCTGTAGTTAAATAAACAGATGGCTTGGAGCGCTAAGATAGCGTCTCTGTCTTTCTTGTTAGCTAGGTCTAGTACAATTGAAGCAAAATTCTTAGCATATATGATTTCATCCAACCCGAGCCATTTGAGCGGGCCCCACCGTTTTAGCTCCCAGTATTGGGGGATGTAGGTCATCATCTCTTCGTGGATCATGCTGATTGGAATCGGGATGTTGTTGCAATGCATGGGGATCTTGTTTATCTTGACCCGGAAGTGCTCCATGTCCGGTAGGGCAGACAGCACTTCATTGTCGGTGATGGTCGCAGCGATTTCTTTGCCATATTTTTCCAAGTCCGTGGCACAGCAAGTGGGGGCCATTGTAATTTTGATGTTGCCTGCTAGGGAGTATCCGACTGCCATGACTCTCAGGTAGTGTGGGAGGTTCTTCGTGCCGAGCATGTTGTTGATTTTCTTGCGGGTCGCTAGGCCGTTTGGTTGTTGGTCTGGTGGGATCAGTGGATTGACACGTATGATAAGGATGTGAGGGTTTGTGGTGGGTGCCTGCATGTCCATGGTTGTCATCTGGGGTCCGGGTCGTGCTATGTGTGTTGGCACAGCCGGAGGTGGGCTTGCCACTACACTTGCCCAGGATGTCTTGACCCGGTTGGTTTTGGTCAGGGGCAGGTTTGCCATTGGTGCTGCCATCATGTTTGGGTCACATGTGTTGCAGTTACAGGGGAGGGCGGCCGTGGTGGGTGTCTCTGTAGTTAGTAACCTATCTGTCAAATACGCATTAGCTTCAGTCAGGCAGCTTATGTTAGATTTGACTGTTTTCAGTCGTTCTTCCAGTTCGCTGTCATGTGAAGGGGTGGGGAAGGTATCCAGGGTTGCCGGCCTTGGTAGGTTACTATACCATAGCGTGTACTCGTCCAGGAAGTTCTCCCACAAACCTGCGAATCTAATGCCATTAAATCTGTCAGTTAAGTCGTGCATTGCCTCAAACATGTTGTAGACAGTCCTATGTGTCTGGTCTCCTTTCTCTGCTTCAGGGCTTTCATTGGCGTACCTCATGTCATTGTCCTCTATCCCAAGTTGTGTCTGGGGTGTGGGTGTGAGGTGATGATGTTCGGCCAGTGGGGGTGTGTCGACTTCCCATTGGTCTGCTGGTGAGTCCGAGTCCGGGGTTGTTGGTCTGCCAGTCTGGATACTTTCGACCACCAGATGGCTGCTCGAGGTGGTCAGGCTGGGGAGGGGGCTGGTGTACCTATTGTCGAATCTAGTCTTGGTCGCACAGGTCTTTTTCACTGTGGTGTCCCAGGGATCTTGTTGATCTGGTTCGGACTGGCCCCTAATCGAGTTTTCACTGTTGCCACATGAGTTAAACTGGTGGTGCTGGTGAGGAGTGCCTGATCGTGTATCGTATAACACTCGTTGGTTGATGGCATGTCATGTGTTGTTTGAGCTAGTAGTCTTTTTGGTGCTGTCCATCCCACCAGGGTTGGGCTTTTTGCGATCATCCATTGATAGGAGATTGGGTGAGTGGGTGAGGGTGAGGATAGGGTTTTTTATGGGGGTTTGTAGTGTGTTTTGATCTCTCTAGACATTAGCCCTCTCTTTTCAAGGTGGTGTCATGTGTCGATGAGAGAAGTCAACTAGTGTCTTCATCGTATATTTCTTCCTATTGTCTGTGGCTCTATAGAGGTTTAACAATACCGCCTTAGCTCCTGCCCAGTCATTGTCCTGGATCTGTGGTAATGAGCTTATAACCTCTTCCGCTGGTCCTCTTGAGTATCTAATTATCCATCTACATTTCTCTTCTTCCATTAATTGTGCTGATTTGGCTAGAGCTTCAAAATCTGATAAGAAATCTTCTATATCACTTCCCCAGAATGCGGGTGCATCCCAGGACCATTTTCTTGGCATCCGAGTTCTGTTCATTTCTGAATTAGTGATTTCCGATTCGGGTATTGTTCCTACCGATCCAAATTCAGAATCAGTTCCATTGGTTGTGTTTATCTCAGCAATGTTTGTTTATTTGTTATAAGAATTCCTGTAGAGTTAGCTAGGTTTTATACACTACCCCTGTAAGGACCACCAATTTTGAAGGAGAGAACGAAGGAAGGTCAGTTGGGAGGTTCAAACAAGACCACCACCAAGCTGTTCCCTGGTTCTTTAGTTAGGATGGGGAAGTGTACTAGTAATATTTGTTGTAATTATAGTACCAATCTGAGTGTTTTGGCTAATTCTATTTTATGGGTTAGTCTAAAAGTTTCTGAGAAATTACAATAGAGGAACAGCTCCGCAGGGCTTGGTTTATCTGTAAGTCAATTCTCAGAAACTTTTAGACTAACCCATAAAATAGAATTAGCCAAAACACTCGGATTGGTACTATAATTACAACAAATATTACTAGTACACTTCCCCATCCTAACTAAAGAACCAGGGAACAGCTTGGTGGTGGTCTCGTTTAAACCTCCCAACTGACCTTCCTTCATTCTCTCCTTCAGTGGTACTTCTTTGTTGCGTTCAACATGGCAGAGGCTTTAATGAAGGATCTCATCAATATGTTGAGAACTTTGAGGAACATGCCCTCATCTCCTCTGAGGAGAGTTTCGTCTCGGAGTCTTATCCCAAAGTCAAATGCGGGTCCCCCTAATCTGTGAATCAAGCAGTCCAGATGGACTTCATCAAATTGGGGACCTTTGCATCCTCGCAAGGCGAGGAATCCCAGTAGTTTGTCTGAACCGTGTGAAGCTTTGCTGATGGTAGCTGTCAGCGACTGAACATTGGCCGCTAGTGATACAGGCGTCCTACTCACGACCGAGCTTTAGCGAGGAATATCCCCACTGATCTCGAGGTCGAGGCTACTTAGGTGAGTGGGCCGGGATTTCGGCTTCAACGACTCAGGGAGGAGCGTTGCGCCTCATCCTCGACACGGTCCTGATATTTTAGAAGGTGGAGGTCTTATGGGGAACAGATGTAAGCTTAGGGGGAAGTTCTAGTTGATTTTGAACTACAGTACAAGCATTAGTTACAAGCTGTATATAAGCGCTAGGGAACTGAATAGAGAATAGTCACCAGATCTTGCAGAGATTGCAGGCGGAGAAAAGAAGAAGGAAAACAAACAAGAAGCACATGTTTAAGACAGTGAAGGTCAAATGTGACCTTCGCCACAAGATAACAGGGTGCAGCGAAACATGGGACAAAAGGTCACAGCGCTCTGCACCGCTAGGTCGTTCAACGACAATTAGGAGAGGGGTCGTGGGGAGGTGGCGGGAAGTGGTTAGACAGCAACGGGCGGCAAGCGGAGTGGGTGGGGAGTGTTCGGGCATCAGAGAAGGTCAGGGAGGAGGTCGTCTGACCCCGGGGAACGCCGGGTCGTGACAGTATCCCCCTCTTAGGACTGAACCCTTGAAGTCCCAAGGAAACTGGCGTGGGAACCGGTTCGGCTGAGCCCGAAATTTTGGTTCCGCTGGTGCGGTGATCGAACTTACCACCACAACAACCTGATCTTCCATTCTCATGGCTCCCAAGAAGAATCCAGCGGATATAAGGACGTGGAGCAAGGATGACATTGTTGATCAGTCCGATGACGATGTGGAGCTGATGGAACAGAAGCAAGTGGAGAGGTTGTGGCGTCGCAAGGCTGAGATTGCGCATCGTGAGGCCCAACAACAAGAGGAGGTGGCCAGGGCTCGAGCTGAGGCTGCATGCCTTGCTGCTGAGGAGGAGAGGCGATTGAAGGTGTCAGATGTGGTCACAGGCAAGGTGAGTACCCCAATCAGTATGACCCTTGCCAGGAACCTTTACTGATCATCCTGATCAAAGCGTCCTGCCGCTACATCGGTGGCGGGGGAAGGACTACCACCCTGTGAACGCTGTGTGAAGAGGGGTGTGGAGTGCGTTAAAGGCAACAGCGATCGTGGCATCTGTGCTGCATGTCAGAAGTCCAGGCAGAAATGTGTACATGGGGTGGGAACGCCTCAAGCCACAAAGTGACCTCGTATCAAGGTGCCGAAAGGAGAGGGGTCAACGATGGATGTGGACGATGTGGAGATGGAGGAAGATGAGGTGGTCAACGACAAAGACAGGATCTATGATGTGCTCCACAACATCCATCAAGCGATCTCTGGTTTAACCACCGTGGCAGGATGACTGTTGGAACACGTTTGTGACACTGAAGAGAGGCGGTTGATGGAGGTGAGGGCGAGGCATGAGGCGAGGGAAGCGGGGGAGAGGGAGGCGAGCGTGACAGGGTCTAGAGTTGATCGGCCTGCAACATCCATGTCCGACTCCTACTCTACTTTGTTCTTACATGATCCTTAACGCAATCCATCCATTCCATCCCATGTCTTAGGCACGTGTTGGTCCCAGCTTATCCGGGTATCGTGAGTGAAAGTCTGCAATGAGGTCTGAAGCGTGACCAAGTTTGGTTGAGGGGAGCCACTCAGTCTCTTCTGTAGTCCCTTTGTAACCATCCCAACGTACGAGGTACAACAGCTTGCAGCTTCACCAGCGATCGATTTTAGAGTCGAGGATCTCGGCGATCTCATATTCGAGTTCGCTGTCGATTTCGATTGGTGGCAGTGGCAGCTGTGTGCGGTTCGGGATGGGGTTGGGGACAGTGGGCTACAGTGGGCTCAAGTTGGGAGACATGAAAGACTGGGTGCACAGCCTTCATGGTGTCAGGGAGGCAGAGAGTACAAGAATGAGAACCTGGCTGTGCGATGATCTCGAATGGCCCAAGGTTCTTATTGGCGAGCTTCACCGAAGGCCTAGTGGTGCGGAAGTACTTGGCCTTCACAAATGCGGAGCTGCCAATGTCAAATGGGGGAGCAGGTAGCCATCAAGCATCCGCAGGGCCTTGGTAATGTTGCTGTGCGTGGTTCATTTCCTCACATAGGAATTGGTGGAGAGAGTCGAGATCGACCAAGTACTCTTGGGCTCACGCCGAAGTCAGATCTCACTCAGGGTGTACAGCAAGGTTCGGGTGGTAACCTTTGTTCGCAAAGAATGGTGAAACACCGGTTGTAGCATTCGGTGCATTATTGTAGGCAAACTCCACCAGAGGCAGGAGCTCAGACCAATTGTCCTGCTGGTAGTTACAATAGACACGCAGATACTGCTCCAGTGTTTGGTTCATTCGTTCGGTCTGACCGTTGCCTTTGGGATGGTAACCCGAGGTGAAGTGTAGGCGAATGTCCGAAGCCTTGCCAAGGGAGCGGAAGAAGTGGGAGACAAATTCTGAACCCCTATCAGAGGTTATGTGGGATGGAACGCCATGCTTGGAGAAGACGTGAAGGAGGAACAACTTTGCTAACTCCGGGGCTGTTATGGTATCGGTTGTTGGCACGAAGATGCACTGCTTTGATAGCCGGTCGATGATAACCAAGATAGCTGTGAAGCCGGAGGAGTTGGGAAGTTGCTCAATGAAATCCATTGATATGGAGTGCCACAGGCATTCGGGAATAGGTAGCTGTTTGAGCAAGCCATACGGCTTGTGTCGTGGGGCCTTGGCATGGGTGCAAGCTGTACAAGAGGACACATAGTCCTTGACAAACATGCAGACGCCTGGCCAGGTGTACTCTCGGCATAACAGATCCAAGGTTTGGTTCTGCCTGAAGTGGCCAGAGAGCAGGTGGTCATGCTTATACCTCAGGATGCGAAGCCGGAGGTCGTTGGCATTGGGGACGTAGATTCGGTTGTCTAGCCATAATAGGCCATCTACGTCTCAAGACCAACGGGAGTCCTCTGGGATCAGGCCAGCAAGGTAGTCAGCGATGGCAGGATCAGCGGGGAGGGCAGCTAGGATGTCTTTGTGGATGGGTGTCACGACCGACAAATCCCGGGGCTCCGTCAGCGGCGAACCAATGCCGATAGGCGAATCTGCCGACCCGAAACCCATCCTAACCAGCCCCCAACCCCATGTCTGGCCCCCTGCCTTACTGCGTGAGACTTGGCCAAGAATCAGAACCTAGACCCTGCCGGTATTCCGACCTTACCTCCAGTTCCTGAGCCCTTGGCGCTCCCGGCATTCAGTCACGCCTGCCTTGTCTCCATCTGAACCACACTCATCACTTCCCACTATGTGGTCACAGCCATGCCCCACTTCCGTGCATTCCGCACCCTCTGCCCACTCCGCACCCTCTGCCCACTCTGCACCCTCTGCCCACCACTGTACCTCTGTTGGCCTTCATGCTGTCCTTGTGTGACAGTGCTGGCAGATCAACCTCTGTTTGCGGACTTGTGTCGGCACCGCACCGACCCCGCTTATTTGCGGACTTGTATCAGCGCCGCGCGCTGACCTCCGCTTTCCCTCTGGCCATTTGTCACTTGGCAGCTTATCATTCATTCCTTGCCGAGTGCCATTTATTGTTTGCTTCCCTGCCAATATCGGCATTTGATCCCCTCTTTATTGGCACTAGGTTATTGATCTCATTCAGTTATTCATCAATAACCCTTGCCACTTATTGTTTAGTGATCTGTTCCTTGTTTCCAGTTCCCGGGCTCTTGTCCTTATT